ATAAAATAAAGATCCAATTAGTAAATATTTTAGTCTTTGTAGACCATTTAGTCTCTATAGCAAGGACTCAACTCTACCATTATAGTTAAGAGCAACAATAGATTATACATAAGCAAATGGGTATGCCAATAAAACTTTATTTACAAAAAACAAACTGCTAGTACATTTGACCTCCAGAGCACAATTTGCTCACCCATTTTCTATTATTTAAGTTTTATCTATTAGGAATCTAATTGTTTGGCTAAATGATTTCTTAACAGTCATATGTTTCAGAGACTCTTTCTATCACCAGAAGTTCTAGTGGGTTTTCTCTTTAAAAATAAACTGTGATATTTGTAAATGATTATCCACTACATTCTGAGTGGGTAATCTCTCATTAAGAGTCAGAACAGAAGCCTAGTGTTGCTAGGTCAGCTATTAATCTTCTCCCTTCCAACATTAGAATTGCTGTAAGCTATAGCCATACATGGTCCAGGCCCATATTGATGTCTGGCCTTTCCCTGGGTTTTAAAACTCTTCACAATTACAGAAGGTATCCAAGTTCATAAACTATTCAATCAGCATTTTATTCCATTCTGGCCTTCAGGACCACAGATCTGAAAAGTATCTTTGCTTCTATTAATTCCCTTGGTGTAAAAAATACCCATGATTGAGTTGAACATAAGACATATTTTTTGTGGTTCTTTAGTCACTTTCTCATTTATTTCTCAGTGTGCCCATGGGCAATTTGGGAGGCCTTTTGTGTATGAAAGATTCTGGGGCATAGGACAGCATAGGAAGATCTTTCATTATGAATTTTGTACATAAAATTTTTCCATGAAAGAAAAAGTTTCTAAAAAATCTTCACAGATATTTAGGGGAAGATTATTTTTATTTATTTATTTATTTATTTTTATTTTTTATTTTTATTTTTTGGCCAGGGCTGGGTTTGAACCTGCCACCTCCGGCATATGGGGCTAGTGCCCTACTCCTTTGAGCTGCCCTGGAAGATTATTTTTAAATGTATATTGTTGTGTTTGCTGAATATATAGGAATACATTTTATTCCTACATCCACAATATATAGGAAGACATTTTGTTTATTTTTGAGACAGAGTCTCACTATGTCACCCTGGGTAGGGTGCTATAGTGTCACAGCTCACAGCAACCTGAAACTCTTGGGCTTAAGTGATTCTCTTGCCTCAGCCTCCCAAGTAGCTGGGACTATAGGTGCCTGCCACAGCTCCCAGCTATTTTTGGTTGTAGCTGTCATTGTTTGGCAGGCCCAGGCTGAGTTCAAACCAGCCAGCTCCGGTGTATATGGCTGGCACCCTAGCTGCTGAGCTACAGGCACTGAGCCTGCCTTTACTTATTTTTAAATGGCAAAACAAGTACATCTATATTGTGTAGTCCTGGGTCAATAAGTATGGAACAGCATTAACTTCAGTGGCTACATGGCATTCCACATTTTAGATGTACTTCTTGTCCCCTGTGGGTGCATTTTAAGTGCTTTCTACTACTGTAAAGAATGCTAAGGTTAACATTCTTATATGTATCTTATTTTCCTGCTAGACTATGTCTTTAATATAAGTCCCTAGAAGTAGAATTAGCAGGGTCATGTGTATGTGTATATACAAGTGTAGTATAATTTTGATATAGAAAAGTTTATGCCCAAATGATATTCTCCTCAACAGTTTATAAGAGTACTTCACATTCTCACCAATACTGGGAAATGTTAGAAATTTCTCAACAGATTAGTTATCAGCTTCCTTCATTGTTGCTATTATTGTTTTATAAGGTATTTTACGTTTTTTAAACCAGTGTCTACACAGTGCATAGTATGTGTCAGAGACTGTTCTAGGTGTTGTTATGAATATTAACTAATTTAATAGGAATATAACCCAGAGAAGTAGGCACTATTATTATCTTTAACTTACACAGGGGAAACACTTGAGCAACTTGATGGTCATGCATCCACTAAGGAGTGAAACCAGGACTTGAAGCTTCCTGGTGATTCCAAAGTCCATCCTCTAAGTTCATCCCACAATTAAGCCCTATTACCTCTTGGAGGAAAAACTTAGTAGAAGAGAAAACAAACTGGACACCAGGGGTCGGAGAGCCACATCCTAACTCCCAGCTCATGGATATTTTCAGTATTTCCTATTTTAATTATTTTAAAAATAATCCTTTTGTTTTTTAGGGTGTATCAAGGTCAAAAGAAATCAAAAGAAGCTTTGCCCCACTATCAAAAAGCTTTGGAATATCTTGAGATTGGTAAAGGTGAAAAAAGTCTTGAGTGTGTGCCAGTATTGAGGGAATTAGCAGGTGTAGAGCAAGTCCTGGGATTCCACGATGCAGCCATCAACCATTTCCTACAGGTAAGCTGCAACATACCAGCCACCAAATCTGTTCTAGACCCAATGCTTTTCATAAATACAAGTGGCAAGAAGCTCTGAAAATACTGGCTTTGTCATTTGCTCTAGATAAGTAAAACACTTAGCCTAGAGTAGATGTTCAACAAAGATTCTCTTATTAGATGGCCAAGTAGATGACAGCCAGAGGTTTGTCCCCATTAGGGGTTGCACAGGCCACAAATAATTTAAGTATTATTTCCCAGACAAAGTTTCTTTATACTTTAGTATTTATTGGATCATCTGATTTGGGGGGCTGGAAAGTGAGAAAGCGTTTCTTCTCTGGGAAATCTCAGGTTTTTGTATTCTAGGTGTTCAGCTGATTGGATGAGGCCCTATCATATTCTTGAGGGTAATCTCATTTGCATAAAGTCAATTGATTTGAATGTTAATCACACCTATAAAATGCTGTATATTCATATCAGCATCTAGACTGTGTGTGACCAGACCACCAGACACCATAGCCTAGGCCAGCTGATACGTAAAACTAACCATTAAAGTCAGTTTGATGTCTTTCTATCATATCATCTGCTAAAGGCACTTTTTAAAAAATATTTCTGAGAATTTATTCCTACAAAAGTTGTAAGATGAATACTAAAATACTAACCCATTCTTGTTATTTCAAAGACATGGTGCTGAGAATACTTTATTGCTATTTCTTTTTAAATTTGTCTAACAATTTATACTCCTATTCACAGTTTGTGAGTGTCTCATTCTCTCACTTTATCTGGGTTATCTTCTCTGTGACGTATTATTATTTACAGTTTATAGATGAAGAGGTCAAGAATTAAGTTGAGTAATATGCCTTGCACCACTAGAATTCCTGGCCTCAAACAATCCTCCTGCCTGGCCTCCCAAAGTGCTAGGCTACCACCCTGGCCTGCACTTCTATTTTTAAAAATGGAGTTGAATGTGTTTTCATATGTTTAAAAGACTTTAATGAATCTTTTGTGATTGTCTGTTTGTGGATTATTCATATCATTTGCCCATTTTTAAATAGGAGTTTTGGTCTGGTTTCCTTAACTTTTAAAAGTTCTTTATCTCTTACACATATTATCCCTTTATCTATGATATGTGTTGTAAATATTTTCACCCAATTTGTCATTTATTTTTCATTATTGTTCAGTGTTTTTAATGGAGATAATTTTTGGAGCATAAAATTTACCCATTTAAAGTGTACAATTTAGTGGTTTTATTAAAAAGTCACAAAGTTCTGTAGTCATTACTACCATCTAATTCTAGAACATTTTCAAGAAACCCCATACTTGTTCCTCATTCTCTCCTCCTCCCATCCCCTGGCAACTACCAGTTTGCTTTCTGTTTGTGAGGATTTATCTGTCCTGGACATTTCATAGACGTGTAATTATGTACTCTGTGGCCTTTGGTGTCTGACTTCTCTCATTTAGCATAACATGTTCAAGGCTCATCCAACTTGAGCAGGCATCAGTACTTCATTCCTTTTTATGGCTCAATAAAATTCTTTTAGACAAATATACCATATTTATCCATTCATCAATTGATGGACATTTGGGTTGTTTCCAATTTTGGCTATTATAAATAATGCCATTATGAACCCGTGTATAAGTTTTTATATGGACATATGTTTTGAGTTCTCTTGGGTATAAAGGTATGAGTGGAATGGCTGAGGAAGTTCCTCATTATTTTACATTCCCACAAACAATTTGTGAGCTTTCCAGTTTCTACACATCTTCACCAACACTTAATACTATCTGTTTTTTTTTATGTTAGTCATCACAGTAAGAGTAAAGTAGTATCTCAATGTGTCTTTTTATTTGAATTTCTCTAATGACTAATGATGTATTGTAGCGCATCTTTTTATTTGTTTATTGGCCATTTGTATATCTTCATGGAAAAAATGTTGATTCAAATCTTTGCATATTTTTAAATTGGTTATTCTTTTTCTTGTTGACTATTAAGAATTCTTTACATATTCTGTATATTAGATACTAGACCCTTGTCAGATACATGATTTGTCAATATTTTCTCTCAATCTGTGGCTTGTCTTTTCACATCTTTGTCCTTTGAAATACAAAAGTTCTTGGTTTTTATTACATCCAATTTATTTTTTTCTTTCTTTTTTTGTGCTTTTGGTGTCATACCTAGGGAACCATTGCCTAAATCAAGTTCATGAGGCTTGCATCTATGTTTTCTTCTGAGAGTTTTTATGGTTTCTAGTTCTTACACTTAGATCTTTGATTAATTTTTGAATTAATGTTTGTATATGGTGTGAGGTAGGGGTCCAACCTCACTTTTTGCATGTGGCTAACAGTTGTCCCAACACCATTTGCTGAAAAGATTATCCTTTCACCATTGAATTATCTTGACACCCTCCTCAAAATCAATTGACTGTAGATGTAAGGGTTTATTTCTAGACTTTCAGTTCTATTTCATTGAACTATTCATTAAGTCTGTCCTTATGCCAATGTCACATTTTCTCAATCACTGTTGTTTTGTAGTTAAGTTTTAAAATCAATACATGTGAATCTTTTTGTTCTTCTTTTTCAAGATTAGTTTAGCTATTCTGGGTCCCTTCATTTTCACATGAATTTTAGGGTCAACTTACCAGTTTCTTCAAAAAAACAACAACAAAGAAAAATCCACTAGGATTTTGGTAGGGTTTGCATTGAATCTGTATTTCAATTGGGAAGTATTGACATCTTAACAATATTAAGTCTCTCAGTTGTTGAGATATCTATTTTTAGCTCTTCTTTCATTTTTTTCAACCATATTTTGTAGTTTTTAGAGTATAAGTTTTATACTTCTTTGGATAAATTTACTCCTAAGTTATTCTTTTTGATGCTATTACAAATACAGGTGTTTTCTTGATTCTCTTTTCTGGTTGTTCATGTATAGAAATACAGATTTTTGTATATTCGTCTTATAGCCTGCAACCTTGCTGAACTCATTTATTAGTGCTATTTTTTTTAACCATACAATATTTTTTAATGTATTCAAATTTTTTTTTTTTTTTATTTTTTTTTGAGACGGAGCCTCAAGCTGTCCCCCTGGGTAGAGTGCCATGGCATCACAGCTCACAGCAACCTCCAACTCCTGGGCTCAAGCGAGTCTCCTGCCTCAGCCTCCCAAGTAGCTGAGACCACAGGCGCCCGCCACAACACCTGGCCATTTTTTTGGTTGCAGCCATCATTGTTGTTTGGTGGGCCCGGGCTGGGGATTCAAACCTGCCACCTTAGGTGTATGTGGCTGGCGCCTTAGCCGCTTGAGCCACAGGCGCCGAGCCTGTATTCAAATTTTCAACCTTTCCTGGCATTATGTTAGATTTTGAATCTAAGTTAGAAGAATTTCCCTATATCTAGGTTATAAAGGAATTCACTCATTTTCATAATACTTGTAAAGTTGACAGGTGTCATTTACTTTTGTTTCTTTGAGGTTAACAAAGGTTGCAGAGTATTTTAAATAAATTATAGATTATCATTAAAGATGTAGTTTGGTGAAGTGAAAATAACATTGAATTTGAAGTCAGAAAATCTGGATTCAAGTCAAGACTATTCTGTTTCCCAGCTGTTTAATTATAGGCAAGTCATTTAGCTCCTTACAAATAAAAGAGAAAAAAACCTACAAAAGACCATATCCACTTCACAGCACTGCTCAAAATTTCAAAACGGAAAGTGCTTTGTGAAGTATTAGGCCTGCTGCCAATATAAACAACTCATATTTATTAACAGTAATTATTATGCATTTATCAATGCTTCCCTTTTCTTTAGGAGACTTACCTAAGATACAGAAAGGTGCACTGTGGCTACAGCCCTCCAGGGGAACCTGTGTCTAAAAGCCATTTATTAATCACACACAAAGAGGTTTTGTTATTTTCCCTGTTGTTTTTCACTCTTCATTCCTTTGGAGTGAGAGAAACACCCAGAGAGAAAAGACCTTTTATTTCCTGTAGAATGTACAAAAGTTCCAATGTATTTTAGGAACAAACCCATTAAAATGGAGAAAATTAAAACCACGTCCTGCAGAGCCACCACACAAGGAAGGCAGCAGTCCTAGAGTCTGATGAAAGAGCTGTCATCCACCCCACCCATTCCTCGTCCCTCTGCAGCGGGGGTCCATGAGAAAACCATGGAAATGTGATCCCTTCTGAAACTTCTCAGGGCAGATTTTGGCAATAAAACCTTATTTTCCTATCCAAAAGAGAAATCACAGGATTTCACTTATGTGAGTGAGAGTGTGTTTGTGGGTGTGTGTATAAATTAACACTGTACTCGCTTGGATTGCTTTTCAGTTCGTAGCACTTGAATTGCATATCCCTCTTTTCAGTTTTCAGGGTAACTCTGCCACTCCGTAGTTCCCAAATTTAGGGAATTTTGACTGTATAATAAAATAATTGAATTATCATTTGCTCTACTAAGCTTTTCAGGTCTGAAATTCTAGCTTTGGGTCCCAGCTCTGTGCAAATTACCGGTCTTGGTCAGGCCTGGGGAGAAGGCTGCTTGATGTTTATACATGGCTCCTGGCAAATGCAGAGCCCTCAGCAAATGGCAGCACTTCTGACTGGTTCTTATCATTTGCTATCTATTTGTTACAATGTATGATTCATTTATTATAAGTAATCAGAGTGATGCTATTTATAATTTTAAAAATCTCTTAAAATTCGAGACTTTTGTTTAAAATTAGAAAAGATTCTATAGAGTGAATTTGTGATTTTATTCATTACAAAAATGTTCTAAGAATGATATAAATCCACAAAGGGGAGAAGATTACTGTTTATTTGCAAATAACAACCACTTTTTATAAAAGTGATCCATGCTTTTCATTAAAAAAAAAAAAAAAGGCCATATAGAACAGTACAAAGATAAGAATCCAGACCTCCCTGCCTAGAAATAGCTTGTGTTGACACTTGTTGAACATTTTTGCTCTGCCTATGTACAGATGGGTATAGATTAGGATACAGAAGAGGAGAAAAAAAGAGAAAGAGTGATAAA